CCATGTATTACCTCGTCCAAATTCGTCCAAGTCTTCCATTGTGGCGAAGCGAAGGTGCGGGGGATCATAGCCATCTTCGCCACCTTTGCCACCTTTGCCACCTTTGCCCTGTTCAGCGCTGCTCAGGGAGCTATATTTCGGACTGGTGACTTAGGACTTAGGCCACCATAGTGACATAGGAATTTGTGCACCAAGTCCTAAGTCACTGGTGTTCTTACCAGGTGATTTGTGTGCACCAAGTCCTAAGTCACTGGGGTTGTGATTGGATTCAAGCACTTTTTAAGTTTAAAAAAAAAAAAACTTCTCTGAATAAGTCATCAGAATCTACATACTTACAGAACATTACAGTACAGTACATTACATCACTACAATACAGTAAAGTACAGTACATTACATTACACTACAGTACATTACATTACATTACAGCACATTACAGTACATTATATTACATACATGCACAGGACTTGGTGCACAAAATCGTATGTCACTAGAGGGGCACAAGTCCTAAGTCACCAAACCTACATACTTACAGAACATTACAGTACAGTACAGTACAGTACATTACACTACAGTACATTACATTACCTTACAGTAAAGTACAGTACATTACATCACACTACAGTACATTACATTACAGTAAAGTGCAGTACATTACAGTAAAGCGCAGTACATTACATTACGTTACATTACATTACATGACACTACGGTACATTACAGTACATACATGCATAGGACTTGGTGCACAAAATCGTATGTCACCAGAGGGGCACAAGTCCTAAGTCATCAGAACCTACATACTTACAGTAAAGTACAATACATTACATTACATTACACTACAGTACATTACATTACAGTACGGTACATTACAGTACATACATGCATAGGACTTGGTGCACAAAATCGTATGTCACTAGAGGGGCACAAGTCCTAAGTCATCAGGACCTACATACTTACAGTACATTCAGTACAGTATATACAGTACATTACACTACAGTACATTACATTACATTGCAGTAAAGTGCAGTACATTACATTACACTACAGTACATTACATTACAGTACAGTACATTACAGTACATACATGCAAAGGACTTGGAAATCGTCTGTCACCAGAGGGGCACAAGTCCTAAGTCATCAGAACGTACATACATATATTACATTACATTGCAATACAATACATTACATCCCAATACATTTTTCATTTTTTCAATTTATTTAATTGCTTTAAAATACTGTCTATATATAAATCGAAGGAAAAAAATGGAAAATCACAGATTTTTTTTGAAATATGTTTTTTTGAAGATGGGCACAAGTCCTAAGTCATCATTTTTTCAACGATTGGCTCGAGGACTTCGACCCAACGACGGGGTAGTGCAATGGGAACCACAATAGGGAAACACAACGGGAAGTGGTCCCCGTTGCGCTACCCCATTTTTAAAAAAAACATATTTCAAAAAAAATCTGTGATTTTCCATTTTTTTCCTTCGATTTATATATAGACAGTATTTTAAAGCAATTAAAAAAATTGAAAAATATAATTTTGTTTTTTTCACTTTTCCTTTTTCTCTGTGGTTTCCCGTTTTGTTTCCCCGTTGTGCTTCCGTATTGTATTCCCCCGTTGCACTACCCCGTCGTTGGGTCGAAGTCCTGGAGCCAACCGTTGAAAAAATGATGACTTAGGACTTGTGCCCATCTTCAAAAAAATATTTCACAAAAATCTGTGATTTTTTTTTCAGATAGATATGAACAAATTTTAACATTTCACTATGTTACAAAAGCAGTTTTTTCTAGTTTTCAAAAATCTGTGATTTTCATTTTTTTGACATTTCTCATTTTGCATCATTTCCCCGTTATTTTTCTCCCTTTGTGTCTCCCCGTTGTAACACCCCGTTGTGGTTTCCGTTTAACGCGCGCGCGGAAACCAGAAAAATAACGGGGAAATGATGCAAAATGAGAAATGTCAAAAAAATGAAAATCACAGATTTTTGAAAACTAGAAAAAACTGCTTTTGTAACATAGTGAAATGTTAAAATTTGTTCATATCTATCTGAAAAAAAAATCACAGATTTTTGTGAAATATTTTTTTGAAGATGGGCACAAGTCCTAAGTCATCATTTTTTCAACGGTTGGCTCCAGGACTTCGACCCAACGACGGGGTAGTGCAACGGGGGAATACAATACGGAAGCACAACGGGGAAACAAAACGGGAAACCACAGAGAAAAAGGAAAAGTGAAAAAAACAAAATTATATTTTTCAATTTATTTAATTGCTTTAAAATACTGTCTATATATAAATCGAAGGAAAAAAATGGAAAATCACAGATTTTTTTTGAAATATGTTTTTTTTAAAAACGGGGTAGCGCAACGGGGACCACTTCCCGTTGTGTTTCCCTATTGTGGTTCCCATTGCACTACCCCGTCGTTGGGTCGAAGTCCTCGAGCCAATCGTTGAAAAAATGATGACTTAGGACTTGTGCCCATCTTCAAAAAAACATATTTCAAAAAAAATCTGTGATTTTCCATTTTTTTCCTTCGATTTATATATAGACAGTATTTTAAAGCAATTAAATAAATTGAAAAAAATGAAAAATGTATTGGGATGTAATGTATTGTATTGCAATGTAATGTAATATATGTATGTACGTTCTGATGACTTAGGACTTGTGCCCCTCTGGTGACAGACGATTTCCAAGTCCTTTGCATGTATGTACTGTAATGTACTGTACTGTAATGTAATGTACTGTAGTGTAATGTAATGTACTGCACTTTACTGCAATGTAATGTAATGTACTGTAGTGTAATGTACTGTACTGTAATGTACTGTAAGTATGTAGGTCCTGATGACTTAGGACTTGTGCCCCTCTAGTGACATACGATTTTGTGCACCAAGTCCTATGCATGTATGTACTGTAATGTACCGTACTGTAATGTAATGTAATGTACTGTAGTGTAATGTAATGTAATGTATTGTACTTTACTGTAAGTATGTAGGTTCTGATGACTTAGGACTTGTGCCCCTCTGGTGACATACGATTTTTGTGCACCAAACCCTATGCATGTATGTACTGTAATGTACTGTACTGTAATGTAATGTAATGTGCTGTAGTGTAATGTAATGTACTGCACTTTACTGTAATGTAATGTACTGTAGTGTGATGTAATGTACTGTACTTTACTGTAAGGTAATGTAATGTACTGTAGTGTAATGTACTGTACTGTACTGTACTGTAATTTTCTGTAAGTATGTAGGTTTTGGTGACTTAGGACTTGTGCCCCTCTAGTGACATACGATTTTGTGCACCAAGTCCTGTGCATGTATGTAATATAATGTACTGTAATGTGCTGTAATGTAATGTAATGTACTGTAGTGTAATGTAATGTACTGTACTTTACTGTATTGTAGTGATGTAATGTACTGTACTGTAATGTTCTGTAAGTATGTAGATTCTGATGACTTATTCAGAGAAGATTTTTTTTAACTTAAAAAGTGCTGCAGCGCACGAGCGTGATGACTTAGGATCATCTTAATATATTTCTGCTAGTTCATTCCTATGTCATCATGGTTTTACAAGTGGTCCATGCCGCACTAAAAAAAAATCAAACATAGTTTCTAATCTCGTCGGACACCTGATGAGTTGGGACTTGTGCCGGGGGGGTCCGACGCATGATGAGATAGGACTTGGCCACACCAGGGTATCTTTCACAAGTCCTAAGTCACTCGCTTGAAATATAGCCCTCTCTTTGCTTTGCGCTCGCGGCATGGCAATGGCAGGCATGGCACGGCGCTGACTTAATTGATAACTAGTCAGCAGAATGGCAGACATACGCCATACGTCTGAAATCTTTGGCATTCCCTCAAATCAACTCCTTTGCAACAACCTCAAAAATGCGTTGCATCGAAATGATGGAGTATTTTTCATAGCCACACTAAATGACCAACTTGTGTATATAAAGGCATTCTTTCATGATCGACCGAGAATAGCAGTAGACACGCAGATGCTATTGTTGTCTGTTGATTGACAGGCATGAAAAGCATGAAATCTGTTGAATTCTGAGAGTTTAGAGCACAGGATCGATGCCTTCAATAACCGTGGTCTGTTGCTTTGTCGGCAGTTCTATCAACCACATGTTTTTATGTTTTGCGGGATGGATGAGCTGCTAGAGACATGAAGAACCGGTGACTTTCAAAGTCCGCCATCATGCCCATTGCTCCCATTCCGCCAGTCCCATCATTTAAGTCAACATGTGTCAACATCAACATTCATCCAACTGTCTGGAAAGACAATGCAATCGGAAGATGAGAAGCCTCTGCACTGTCTTCTTCTTCAAGGCAAGCGGATACTCGCATCCATTCCTGCGAGGGTGTTGCTTTCGGTACCACGCTGAGGATTCAACCTGCTCCCTGACTGTCTTCTTCCAGGGGAGTCAAATGAAAAAAACAATCAAGTGGGTAGCTTTTTCCGCCCTTCCTTTTTCCACAAGCCATGGTGTCTTCTGCACAAGCGTATCTTTCGTGCAACCAAAATTGAATCAAACACTTGGTCCAAGCTTTGCAGGGCAGAGATGAAGGCATCCGATGCCAATCCAAGCAAACTGGCTACTGATCAAAAGTCAGGGCAAATCAAGGCAGTAGCCCGTTCTTTGGAGACCATCTCTGCTTTTCTTTGGAAGCTAATGGCCCTTGTTTATTTATCTTCATTCATTTATTTATTCATTTATTCATTTATTATCATTCTTATTTATGTATTTACGGCGGCTCCTCTGTGTGCAGTCAGAGAGCGACTAGCAAAAGGGCTAACAAAATGAAGGATTCACAGTACTTTCAACTTACAGTCCGCATGTGCTGCGCTCTGTTTGACTGCAATATACATAATATTCTGCAATTACCATTCAACTAATCAGCAGTCAAAGCATGGTGGCAGGCGCCCTGCGTGGAGGATAGGGTATCCTCCTGGGAGACTTTAGAAAAGACTTGTGAGACCTTCAGGAAGCTGTGCTGGTCATTTCGGCCAGCAGGCTACCAACGTTCTCTCTACTGTGGAATACCTTGGCATCACCATGCACTGCACCAACCAGTATGCGAAGGTTATCTTGTGAGAGTTGTGAACCGGAGAGTGTTGTGTCACAGGTAGAATCTGTCAAGTTCCATTATTTCTATTGAGTCTGGTACATTGTGTAGGCCACCGCCACATACATGCTGCGCATAAAGAGGTCCCGAGGAACGAGGCTGCTCAATCTGGTCCTGGCAAAGACGTGCACAAAAAAAGGGAAAGCAAATCTCAAGTACCACAGACATGATCAAACAACCAGCATTGGCTTTGGCCAATGAAGTAGGGCACAACAAAAGGCTGGCCTCCCGCTCGATGTGTCCAGATACTGCTCTTTTAGAAACCTTCGTTTGAACATTCCGCATTCATCCGATGATAAAGGCAAAATGCTCAATCCACGAGGTGTGCAGTCTTGTCAAAAAAATGCAGAGAAGTGGCGATACCATCTTTTCGCGCTGTTCAGCTGCGGGCAAATTCCTTCATGACAGAAAAGTTTGGCACTGCTGGATGGCGCTTAGTGTCCAATTTCATCTGAAGGGCATGGCATCTACGGTGCAGTCCGGTACAACAACTATGCAACTATCTACAACTCAGTCGCAAGAGCTTCTCCTGAGCTCTGGAGTGGTAACCGTATAGCCATAAAGCTGGTGTACCGGTGCAGAGAAACAGGCTGCAAAAACCTGGGCTGTTCCATCCGCACAGTGAAAGCTAAGCAGAGACAGGAAAAAAAAGAGTGAGAAAAAGAAAACAACCGTGTTAATAGCTATGAGTACTGTGAAATGACTAGACTATGACCATGCAACGAGCAAAAAAGAACCTTGTGAGGCTCCGTTTAGCCTAGTGGCATTTCCCGTGAAGTCTCCTGCAAGAGTTGTCCTCACAGGCACAAGACACACGGTCGGTAGAAGCAAATGAGTCCAAAGGAGTCCCATAGAGCAGTTCTCAGCCCCATCTGGCCCCATCTGAACATCTGAACCATATCGAACCATATCGAACCATCCTCAAAAAATATCCTTTAGACTTTAGACATCTTGAGACTACAAATGCACATACTGAGGCGCCAGCATGGAGTTGCTCTTTCCCGTGATCTGAGTTGGCCCAAACGTTCAATCTCTTTGCTGAGGCTAAGTACAAACTCCCAGTCATGGGAGTTATGGACAAGGCCGAGATATCTAATAGTCATAGAACTGACGAAGTCATACTGGATCGAATGTTGTTCTCAAAGCAGCAACACATCTAAGGCCAGGGCCCCTTCAATGACATTTCTGCAGGGCAGGATAGAAAGTAGCAAGACCGGTCGCAGGTAAAAATGCAAAAAAGGAGGGTGATCACAGCAGTGGAGAATGTTGAGTTTTTTTTCGTCAGGCCTGCATGGGGTGCACAACATTCGCAGGCCTGCCTGCACCGAAGTAACGCTCAAAATTATAGAGCTGTCTTCATTTAGCCTCCTTAAAAATGACTGCTTTTTTGACTGCTGGTGCTGTTATTGAAAGGCGGAAAACCGGCCGTCGCGATGACATTCCGGAAGACGTGGATCCCGAAGCCAGGTCCATAAGGCTGGCAGCAAATGATGTAAATGGTACCATGGACAGCATTTGCAGTGTGCAGACTGTGAGTTGATGATAGTGGAATTTCTAGAATGTGCAAGGTTCTAGACTTTCAGATCTAAGCACCGGGGTGAGCCGCCTTCCACGATGGGTGCACTGAGGGGATACTGCCAGGACCTTGTCGCAGCTTTCAGAATGATTGCAACACCCAAGGTGAAAGGTGCCCCAAAATCTCTTGTCGAAAGATTTGGGGAGCATAGAGTTCTGGACGGTCGATCAGAAAGCATTTGGCAGGCATGCACCAGCTTTTTCCCAACAATTGGAAATCTGACCCTACAAATAGCCCGCACCAGCAAAAATCCCTGACTCTCTAACCTCTCCCTGTTTCTGAGTCGGTTGCTCTTCTGGTTCTTTGCCATCTGAGCGTTGCAGGTTTCTGCTCCGTACACGATGAGCGTCTGCAGTGGTAAAGCGGAAATGCAATTGCAATATATTGCAACATATATATATAATATTAATTAATATTATATGATTGCAAGATATCTAAAATATGTTAATAAATGTTAATAATATGTTTATATAATTTTATATAACTGTTCCAAGATGTTCAAATTGTTGATGGAAATGACTGCGACGTGTGATCAAGAGACCTGCCTCAGTGAGGCTGGTTAACAGCACTCCGCCACCTCAAGACTAAATGATCTAAATGTTCAGGTTTCTGCAGGTTTGTTTCTGACTTCAAACCATGTGTTACATCCTTTCTGCGGTTCCGGCCTACACCGGAAAAAGATGCATAGAAGTGATAAGCTGGACCTGCGCTTGAAGCTTCAAGGTTAAATCAACTGCTGTGTTTGAATCTAAGCGTGCCATAGCGTGCCTAGGCAAAGGAACTGTGGACAAGCAGCTCGTGCTGTAAAACTTCCGCCTAGTCTCAACGCTCGGGGCAAAGGGCAACAAACACAATCTCACTGAGGCTTTTCATTCTCTGCATCCCACATCGAACTGGACAAAATCGCTGGTAGGGCGACGGCCAGTCCAGCCTTTGGCTAGACCTCCAGCAAAGACCTTCGAGTCCATAAAATTGGAAGGAAGCAAGACAAGAGCATTTCCAAACAAGCGTGAAATGCATTGACACGTCGTATCACAGACTCTGGAACAGAGAAGCGATGGCTGCCTGTCTGTACAGCTCGACCGCGCTCGCTGAGCTGGTTGCACCTTGTAATACAAATAAATAATACGGACCAGGATGGAAAGAAATTGACTAGAATAGAACTCACCTCGGATTATATCTTAGTGCATTCACAATATGCATTCAAACGCATTCAATATGTAATAGATTCTCATCATTTCTCATGTACTCGTCAACACTCTATGCAGCTTCGATGCAGCATTCTGTGTGTCCAATGCCAAGCTCTGCACCAAGTGTCAGCCCATTCCGAAATGGTGTCACCTCCAAGTCGCTTAAAATTGCCAGCACAAAACAACACCTTCTAAGACAAAGTGCAGCTGACAATGCCAGCTCCACCATGCATCTCAAGTATGGCATTCCAAAGATGTTTTTACCTGAAGAACCTCAGGACTATTTGCAGATATCCAGGAGATGCTGAGCCCGCTGCACTAAACATCACGGCTGGACCTCCTAGCCTTGATGGCGGGCAGGCCAACAAGCTCATCAAGCTCAGGTTTCAAGAAAGATTCAAATCCGTCATTGTCACAGCATACCTTCTGGATGCCCTGCTTTGTCCCGCCAAGATCGATTATTGGTGAATTTGGAGCGAAACTGGCCAAACTCCCGGGGATTGTTTGCATGCGTCCTTTTTCGTCAGCGCAAAGCTTCAAAAATTGGAACTGTAGAGCAAGATTCCATACTGAAAAGTGCGGGAGATCAAAGACCATCAACGTCAACAACAAAAACGTGCGATAAGTTTAACACCGAGTTCCTGACCCACCTGCCACTATCACAGGCAAGCTGGGCAGCTCGAAAGCCATGCTTTCTGCCTTCCAGAACTGAACTATTCTAAGCGCGTGCTGTTCTTTAATGTTCACGGTGTTCACGAGTTAGACATTACATGTTTCTTACAAGGCCTTTTGCTGCCTGGCTTCCTCTGTCTGTGTCTGTGCTTCTTGGGGTCTGGGTCTGGCTCCATCTCTACTCTGGGGCACCTTGCCTCTATGATCCCTTCAAAAGAAACTTTGCTGGAATTGTCTCTCATGTGCCATCTGCAACCGTAACCCTATATGCAAGTGATGAAGATAGGTTCTGAAATCCTACGAGCACTAACATGAATTTTAGTTGATTTGGAAGGCCTGAAGTAGAACTGGACAGCTGCTCAGTTTGCATCAGTTTGCCAGATTTGGAAGGGGTCAAGATCAAAATGCGACACTTTTTGGAGTTCGAGGCAGGCTGCACTGACAATTTGCTTAACACTGTTCAAACACTGTTTGAAGGCTCGGAAAGGTCTCAATCCCGCCTCTGATGCCCGGCTTTCAATTGACAAAATTGCTCAAAGATGCTCAAAATGCTCAAAGGCTGAGGAGTGATGCTTACTGTAAATATGCTGAAGGTGGTTCCATATGTGTCATGTGTCATTCAGAAATCGCAATCTCTACAGAACCTCCCATGTTCTGCTTTGCCGTAGTCACAGCATTCTCTCATGCAATCTCAAAGCATCAAGAGCAACCAGTCTGAGAACAGCTTGGTCTCTCCGAATGAAGTGCCAGATTTGAATCTTAAATACGTACCGGTATCCGTCAAGCTCTAGCCTCTAGACTCTAGTCACCTTGTATTACTGACTTTGCCTTGAAACAGCTTTGTCCCACACACAAGCATGGGAGGCATGGGATGCTGGAGGCACTTCATGTACACCAAGCTTTTCCGATAAGAATCATCCCATTCCACGTGATTGTAGACAGGCTGAGCCTGGCCAACAAGGATAACCAGGCGCCATGTCAGGCCATGTCAGGCCATGTCAGCTGTTGTCTTAAAGATGTCTTAGACCGTCTCAAGTCTTATGAGTCTTATGAGTCTTGTGTCTTGATGCCAGGTAGAGGCACTTGCTACAATGATCTACAATGATCTACAATGTAGCATTTCAAGCATTTCAAGCCTCTTGATACCGAGATTGCGGATGCAGTTTGTTTCAGTTTGTTTCATTTCCGTCACTAGACGAGGCAGGCTACGCAAGCCCCACCTGTTGGATTCGCTTCAGGATGGCGTGGTTCTCCTCAAATGCTTCTGATCTTCTTCAGGCCACACAAACAGAACATATCTGAATACGATTGAATACGAATGCACATGAAATTCAACATAATGTAACATGAATTGTAAAATGATTCAGAAGTCTGGCGACCCAGTTAGGGCCAGATGGATGAATCTGTCATTTTCATGATAAGTGGCTGAGGGTGATATGAGGGAAAGGAGGTAAACGAACTGTAAGGATCAAGGAATCAAGGCCTCATTATAGATGTGGGTTCAACAGATCCCAGAAAGCACAAATTTGAAGTGGCCTTGGTTATCCTACAAGTTTTGATAAGTTTTGTTGTCGCTGTGCTGTAACAACATTGCAGAAAATCTCGCCAAAATGTCGTCCTGAGTGATCCGAGACAGCTCTGCTTTTCGAGCATCCCGAACGAGGCTAACAGGGCCGCTGTGAGAACCTTCACACGCGAAAAAGGAAGGTGCAAAGAAGACAAGAAAGCCACAAAAAAAGAGATCCACATGGACCTCCAATGGATTCACAGAGTTCTCACTGAGGTTTCTTCACAAATACACCAAGGATCACCAAGGCAAGAAACGAGTTGCACCAGATTTGACCGAGGGAGTCTTCATGATATCTGACCTTAACACAGGAAAAGAAGCAAGCTAAGCAAGCCGAAGAATAATTTTAACTATATAATTCAAACAGTTTGAAAAAATGGGCTCCTCAGTTTGTGTTCGGTTCAACTTAGCACGGATCATCTTCTGAAGCAGGATACGGTTGTCACGATCAATAGCATGGTACCTGCAACTCTTCGATCACATGACATTGGGCAAGCGCCTCTACAACACTACTAAAATGCGATCAAAAAACACTAAAAAAAACAATCACATGCTGGTTTTCAACTATGTGCAGTCAGATATGGCCTTTCTTCCAGTAGTTGCTCCTGATTCATTCATTGAGGTTGCAACCCTAAGGGCTATGAAGATTCCCACAGGTTGAAATGAAATGAATACTCTGTGCATCTCTGTGCTGCTTCCAAATACAGATTTCACCAAGACTTCACTGAGCTCCGCTCCCTCTTCAGATTATTCCGCACATGGTCCAGCGCCATAGTTTCAGGTGGACGACAATCAATCTGCCAGCGGGGCCGCAGGGATGGTATATGAACATGTTCTGTGAGCCCAATGGTCTTCCGACATCTTCCGACTCCTTCCCAAGGGCCTGGGGTTTCATATTCCTGATCCTCGTCTTCATCATCTCTTGTTCCCGTTGCCGTACTCGAGCTGCACACGCCTTGTTCGCCACCTTTGCTACCAGAGCGTGTTGATTATAAAATATTTGGCACTGTCAATCCGATTTGGTGTACTGAATGTCCAAACTGTCTGTGTCCAAACTTAGGTCCGCACTAAGTTTGGCTTCATTGCGCCTCATTGAAGTCTTTCCGCACACGTTCAGCACATCTGAACTGAAGCACGCTACTCGCTGAGGAAGGTGCCAAATATCTGCGGGCTCTCTGTGGGCTACACAGCTGGAATCATGAAAACATATGAAAACAATTGCATGTACGGGAATTAGATTCCGGAATCCATAAGCGTGTAGCCGCTTAGCCAGCACTTATTGTTCTGTTGCATCTTATTGATCGATAAGTCTCAACCTGTCCAAATCTTGAGCCTGGAGAAGTCACTCTAAGACTCTAAGGCTCATCTGACAAGCTTCAAAATCAGATTAGATGTCACATGAACGGCATGAAAATACTACGGAAGTCTTCATACTTCCAAGCGGAGTGCAGGTTGCTGCAGTCTTTTCCGAAGACATTTGCCTTCACAAACTCAGTTCGCTCAGCTGCGCATGCCTGAACTACAACTGTGGCTGCTGCGTACCTGCCAAGTGTGCTAAAGTCGGCTTGTTGGAATGCATCATAATTCATCTCATCTGTTGGCAATTGCTTGCAGATATACAAACAGTCTCGGGAATTGAAACTCAGAGCCCACATGTTCATATTTGATTCTGAGCCTGAAATCAAGAGGCAGACAGTTGGCAAATAATTATTGTTTTAAAAGAAACATTTATATAATAGACTATCAGGTGGCTACCCATATCCGCCCATATCTAGGGAGCTTTTGTAGCTTGGGAAGATAAGAAATGACATTGAAATCAAAGGCATGAAAGACAGCCCTCCGAGACCTCAAACTTAAAATCTGGAGTCAAATGCAAGGACAACATCAAATGTTGGTAACCAAACACACACTTCATAATTTTGACTTTGGTTGCACCTCATAAACAGCAGCGATTCTTGTCCCAATCTCGAGAACAAAGATTTGGTAGCATGTGGACCTATTTGTACAGTGGTATATTAGCTGCGTTGAATTCCCAAAGCACAACAACTGAGCAGCATCATTCTATATTATTCACATTGTGATGTGCATTGTGCTTTGCATTGTAATTCACATTGTAATTTACATTGTGATTTATACGTAGTCTACCTACAGGGTTGGAATGTCAAAAGGCCCGTGGGGCACTTCTCGTCTGTGACGGTAGGGAACCCCTGCCACTGGCAGTGCACTCGGATTTGATGTCTTCGCCCTGCAAGTTTCTCAAACTCAGTCTAAGTTCAAAGAAAATCAAAGAAAGAGGTACAACTAGCTTATACATTATACATGCTTAGGCCTAGGCTTATACTGTATTTGTTGACCATGACAAACAGTAATTCGATTTGCACCAAATGAATCTGATGATCTTGAAAATAGCCTGTGTAGATTGCAATGCCAATGAGGCTGACTTGACCACCTAAGGTGTTCCGCAGTTTGTTTGTTTGTTTGCGACTGCACAGGGTCAATCATCCTGCACCTACTAGCATGGGTGAAATTAGTTCATATACTGCAAAGTCTGCAGGAATTCCAATGGCTGAGGTACACTAAGAGTACAAGGGTCTGGCGGCGTAGGAGAGTTTCGTAATGCCCTATGGCCTTCGAAGACATCACTATGCGGAGGGAATCGGGAACCGAGGCAGATTTGAAAAACACCACAGCTGACTCATGCTCAAACGACTCAAACCATCTCATGATATCATGATATCTCATGCTTAGACTCATGCTTGTTCAATGAGTTGAATACATTGAATCGCGGCAATGTCGAATCTCCGCGAGTCACCTTGACCCGGGTATCTGCAGGCCGACCGTTGGCATCAACAAAGCTACGTCCTGGCAGGAAGTCTTGGACCTCAGAAGACTCAGAAGACGAAGTTAGACAGAAAGCCCTGGCAAACGCCAGACAGCGTCAATGGTCAAAGCTCAGAAAGCTAAGGATGCCAATGCAAAGGAGCATGTCACAGAAATGGCACTGAGCAACACAAGTGCACTGTCTTGTAAATTTGTCGTGTGTCATTTCCTATCATTTTCTCATGGTTGAAAAAAGCTTCCTTGCATGTAGGTTGCAAAGTTTCAACCGGTTTAACAATTTGCTGACGGTGGCACTGGCACATCCACATTCCCAATCACCGCAGGCCAGCAATCCGCCGTCAGAACCACATACTCGCGACCTGCCAATCGGATCCACTCAGCTCGACTCAGCTCCACAGGAAAGACCTGGACAGCACTGCAATTGGATCGCTGGGGCCATGGCTGATGGAGTACATGTGCATTTGCCACTGAAGCATTGCAAGCCCCAGAAAGTTGGTGCCAACCAGAAGGAGTCCAGAGCTTGGAACATCCAGTCTATGGATAAAGCCATACTCGAAGGCAGCCAGTCTCACAACTCTCGAGATCTCCTGTTCTTGGACGAAGGCAGACAACGGAAGACCACTTTGCAGATTTGATTGCCCTTTGGCATCAACTTCCCAGCCAGGGGGCTTGTAAATCACAGAAATCCCCTGGAGCTTTGTTAAAATGCGGGGACGCCCTGTCTCTTTTAGAGAGGAGGATATTTCTGCACCTGTCGCCTTTTTCGGTTCTCGCTCGGAATGTGGCTCCAATTCCATCCTGTCAAGATTCAAACCAATATCGAGCAGCGTGCGCTTCAAGCGCTCACCAAGGTCAGGAGTAAGCCTTCCGGAGAACGAAAACGCCCAAATCAGTTGGCAAATGTGGTTTGAAAATCTGCTCATCTCCCAGTACACATCCGCGGATGTAATTTGACAATGCATGTCAAGGATCTGTGACGAGCAAAGCAGTCTTTCCGTTGCTTCAAGAAGCGGATGATCTGAATATATGGAATTGGCTGCTGTCCATGAAACATTTGCCAAGCCCTGCAAGTCGAACTCTGGCAAACGTACTATGCATGCCGGGCAGAGTTCCAGGACAGGAACTTGTAAAGTAGAATGTGCCCAAACTGTATTTGACAGATGCTGGGGTTGCATTTGGGGTTGATTGCGGAGAGCTGCCACGCGGAGAGCACACACTAATGGCCAGTCTTGCAGCATCAGGGTTGCAAATGACCAAACAACATTGGACACATCTTGACCTCCGAATCTGTCCATCTGTTGGTGCGCCTCTTGGGCTAGTTTTGTCATCAATGCTGCATCATGACACAGCAGTGTCGCAAGAGCTCAGAAGCTGTTGGAAATATTTTGTGGATCAAACCCTGCTGTGTTCTGCAAGCGAGTAGACAAGGCCTGTAACAATCGACTATTTCGAACGGCCAACCTGCCAAACCTTCAGGCAATGTTAGCCACGTTCTGAGTTTGCAAAAGTGAAGCTTTGTCAATGACTGCATCGGCCAACGCCAACAGCTGAATTTCATTTTGGAGATCGAGGTGAGCAGCTGCTCAGACCATGTTGGCCAAGCCTTGTGCCGTGAATTCCTTCATTCTTTGCACAGACCAATCAGCAGCTGCAACCAGGACAGGCATGTTGCGAACAATTAGAGTCGCCTAAGTCCACATGACATTTGCCAAGTTTTGAGTCGAAAATTCAGTCATCCGAGCCAGCGAGGCAGACAAGACTGGACCTAATAGAGCTACATCTTTGAAGCTCAGCGTGGCATGTGTTTAAACAATGTTGGCAATGCTTTGTGAAGTTAGCCCGCGGGCGAAAGAAATCACATGCCGCGAAAGTTACGACAGAGGCTGACTCCTGAAGCTGACTTTGGCATATGTCCACAAAATGTTTGCAATGCTCTGCGCAATGCTCTGCGCGCTCTGGGATGGAATGGATCCCATTGATCCGGTACAGGAATCTGCAAGTCTGGCAACAGCTGCAGCACTTGCCTCAAGGAGTGCTGTGTCTTTAACCAACATAGCGCTTAGTGCTCACAGCATATTCGCTAGACCCTGCATATCAAATTCAGACACTTTTGAAGTCCCTTCTCGAACCAATGATCGTATCATTTTTGCATGCACCTTCACCGCATCTTACTGTGCCTCAAACGGTTTGCTTTCCTCCTGAAACTGTCTCATCTGAATGTCTCTAGCCAGCTTCGGGAGGATGCGGCCATAACCTTGCTACTATACGGTTGTCCAGATTCCCTTTGTTGCATGCCAAAGTTAAAAAACAGTTTGTTTTCCGATTCATATGTGTCAAAGTTGTGCGTCAAAAGACCAAACAGTCATCTCATTTGTAAGCCTTCTGGATATGCCTGCTGCATTGAAGTGGAAGACATATTATCTAACAACTTTGAGCCTTAGTGGAGAAGCAAAGACAATGACGCCAATTAAAGATATCCTAGAGCCCTCCAGTGCAGTGAACATCTAGTCCGGGTCCTGTCTTGTGTCTGCAGCTTTCACAACGTTCACCCCATCGTTGGAGATTCCAACAAGCAGTCCGTAAAAATCCAAACAAACTGAACAAACTGAACAAGCTGCAAATGTCAAGGCTCCACTGGTTTTCTGGCAACGAAAATCGCGTTCCAATCTGTCTGTCGCCGAATTTCCGCTGGCGAAGCCTTGCTGGCATAGGCCGTGGCCAAGGCTGTAGTTCGGGAATGGTGCTGCTTTTTTAAAAAGCCTGCAGCGAACGATTCAAAATATCGGCTTGACCGTTTCCTGCCGACGCAGTTGCCCGCTCTGGCATGAGGCACACAAAAAACAGCTCTTTGCCATTTATAGCAGGTATGCAAATTGCATCTCCTTTTTTTGCAAGTTGATTCTCATGACGTGGGAATCTCAGATCAGTACTTATAGGCTATAGTGGCTATAGGTCACTTTCTTTAGCTGCGAGCAGCTGATGTGAAACAGTGTGAAACTTCTTAATCAAATATTTGGTAATAATTCACTACAAGCCTTGTGCTTGCGTTGTCATTGTGACTCAAAATGTTGCCCATGAAATTGCAGGAGCTTCCTGCATCGTGGCTGCTACTATTGCACACTATTTATTGCACACTATTGCACTCTGCTGCGAGCGTTGCTTTGGGGTCATCATTTTGTCTGGGCATAGAGCCACGACCAGAGTCAGCCACTCAAACCACTCAAGCAGCAAAGGACTCATGAAATCTCTGCAGCCTCAGCGCCCACCACATGCGTGAAAACACTCCACAGAAATCAAAGAGGTGCATGTCGTTGGGTCCTCCGCCAACCACACATTGCAGGTTTTTGTGTGTATGTGCGTTTGTTGACAGCAGCTTTGGCTACAGCAACAGGAGCGAAAGTCAAAGTCATCTGAACCGGTAAAACCAAACACTCGCAAAACAAGGGGAGGACCATTGTGGGAAAGTGCAGGTCCCTCACAGGATTGTCTGGAAAATGTTACGCAGAACACTGAAAAGGGCGTCATCCCAAGATAGATCTATCACAGTTTCCGCATGTTTTCCCATAGTCTGACATGAGTTGAAGCGTTCTCCCCGAATCCCTGCACATGGGTAAAGCGACTTCAGTCCCTTTGAGGAGCCTATGAAGCAGCTAGAAGTGAACTGAGCTATGGCAGCTATGATGTTGATATCATTTCCGCAGTCCAGGTGGCTTTTACCAGTGGAATTGGATACATCTTGCTTTGCTCTGAACAGTGTGCAAAACAACAAAAAATGGAGAAGTCAAGGGCTCGGCGCAGATGAGGAGCACACCTGCATCCGATGCTTGAAGATCGCATGGCTTTTGAACATCTTGAACAAAACATTGTTATTCGATATGATTCAAGCTGAATGACTCAAGTCAGCCTACAACTCAAGTCATGCTGTCCCAGACTGGGCTACCAAGGTCGTGCTCTTGTTTTTTCCCGCATCTTCAGCGGTCAATTCCACATCCATACCTTTGTCTGTACTGTCAAAGGTCTTGGATGTGTTAATCTTGTTCCACACGGGCCAAATGTCGGTACACTCCGACCACCACTTTCTTCAATGGCTAGCGGCTAGCGCTTTGCCATGACACAAGTGTTTAAACATCTTTCATCTTGTGAGGCTTGGGAGGAATTCCCTCCTTCGGACTTTCCTCCTCATGTAGGAAGGCCTGAATTGCAGCATAAATCAAACACATACAAGTCGTGCAAACAAGATCACTTTGGTCAAGATTTGCTCGGCACCTTGACAATGTCATGATCTTCTTTCTCAAGTCTCTCCTTGAAAGGTGCGCAGAGCATTTGAAGGTCAATTTTTGTCTCTCAATAGTGGTCTGCTGTTAATGGGGTGGTAAAGGGAGACTTGTACGATGTCTATGCGACAAATTGTGATCGTGTTCGTGTTGAGACATAGACCGATTCACAGAGACTGTCGCAGTCCTCGTCAAGCACGTTCTCACCATCAGTCGGACAGCCTCGTGAGTAAACGATTCATTCGTCACATCTGTATCCAACTAGTATATCATATCCACACGCCGAACAAGCACTACTAATTCAACTGCTCACAACAAAAACTCACAACGCTGACATAACGCACTTTGCATCCCGGAGGGTTGTCCTAGTTTTTTCATTGGCAATGAATCTGGTACTTGTGCTGGGAGGCTTGGTTTGAGAGATACTGTTGGGGGAAAACTCCGAAATGCGGGGTGGTTGACCAGCTGTCTGAAATTACAGATTGGTGCTTGCAAGGTCATGTAAGTTTGAAATGACACACAAACAAGACAAGCAATGGCCAAAATAATTGCATACAGAGTGAAGCAGATCTACGGTACGAAGACTTGTTTAATTATTTCTTACAATGATGCGTTTCAGTTGGTTGGATTTTTTGTCTCAGACTGACTCAAACCAGGGTTCCCTGGAATATTGAGTGCATTGAGAAAGGGTTCAAAATGCGCAAAACCAGGCAGGCAGGTGAAAATTGTTGCTTTGACTTCGTATTTTCTCTGCACATTGTTGCGCCATTTTTTGGATTGTCAGAATATCGTTTCTGTTCATCACAGTCGTGCCCAGGTCCCCTATCATGGCATGGCTGTTTTGTGCACCTCTACAATACATGCACCGTGCCTAGAATGTGATTAGAGATGACGATGTGTGAAGCGAGCGAAACTGTTCACCAGCTCTGCTTTGTAGACTCGACAAGACTCGTGGGTTTAGCATGGTTTAGCCAATGTTCTGCTAGGCATCTGCTAGGCATCTGAGTGCATTGCACCAGAGGCAATCAGACTGTAATCGGCTCTCCCAAATCTTTGCCAAGGTTCGGCAAACCGCTGAGCTCAGTGCTGAAAGGTGCTGCCAGCACTCTCGCTGCATGATCAATCAACCCTTCCTGGGCAACGCAGGGCTGTATGGCTACAATGGGAACTAACTGCACACAGCAATATGCTAACATGCAACCTTCACAAGCTTTGTACCTTTGAATCAGGAGCCACATCGACCCTGTCGGAAATCGTCCACAGCAATACATCCAATAGAAATGGCAGTGTCATGCAGTATCATTAGCGCAGAAAGCTAATTACATTGAGTGGAGAAGTCCGTGCAAAGCAACCTCACAGGGAGGCCCGTTAAAAAGATTTGAAGAGTGCTGCAAATCTTGAAGAACTATTCCTGCCATGTCCATCTTGAAATCTTGAAGACTTCCGTTCTCAGTTTAGTCTTTACTGTAGAAGCTTGCCTCTCCAAACAGTAGATACAGACTGATAGAGACGCATGTCAAAGCTTTAGATTGTAGACTAATTCCTTAACCCAGGTGTTTGCACCGGGGATCGGTGGAGAAAAGGAAACAGAAGTTGTGAGAGAAGAAACCCAGTCTTGGAAGAGAGATCCTCACACTACCATCTTGATGCAACATTTCTTTAAACTGAAAACTACCACACAGGTAGAAGTTGCCCGGTCAATTGAGGCGACCCAGTCTCACTCTTCCACAGCAGGACAGACTGATTTCGGTACACTATGGGACACTACGGATTCTATGTCAATGTGGTATCAGGTCAAACATTCCTGCCGTACAGTATAGAAATTTGCACACAACGTAAATATGATCATAGTAGTAGCTGTACCTGAGATTCCCAAGGATGGCACTATCTCATACGATTCGGCCAGCCGCAGCAAGTCCAGAGCTCGTTCCTGGCAAATGAGCCAGGCATAAGGGAAATGCATTTGTCCTGCGTGTGTGTCGCATCTGTGTTGTGTCTGTGTTGCTCGCGTGGTTCTTGTGGACTGCTAGAGTGCTCCTTGTCGCTTGTAGCACTTCGACAGTAGATCCAGCGAATCACTTCGAGAAAAGTCTCCAAATCCTGGCAATGTAATAGTCCGCAATAGCCCGTAAAAGTGCATGAATCTGTATTGAGTCTGTATTACTGTATGATGTTGCACACTTGTAGGTTTTTGCATGTGGAGAGATATGGAGAGAGTGTCTCCCAGTCAGAAACGCTATGCATAAAAGTCTTTCATAGTCTTGCCCAGAGCCTCCTCTACAGTCAGGTCTACCTGGTCAAGGTCTTGAAACAACGACTCAAAGTAGCCGACCTGAGGGACATGAGACTCTGAGAGGGACATGCTGGCGCGCAAAGGTCATCGCCGCGCAAAATATCCGAACAGCAGCACAGAATATACTTGTCCCTCATCACCAGTTGGCCAACGTGCAACATCGTGCAACGGAAGCATACGAACTCGAGGATAGCAATGGACCAGAAACACTTGGCAAGTGTGTCTGTGTCGGAAATAGATCGAAAAACCTGAAATAAAGGAATGATAACGAACGTTGATTGCAAGCAAGCAAAGTGCGCCTCAGCAAGAATCCGACGGTGAGCTAATAGTTTTCGCCCACCGTTGCAACACAAAGTCACATCTGGTCGAGCCTTGGCCAGGTTCACAGGACTGCAGGTCAGTGATACTTGAAACAATTTTTGTGGATCGACGAAGAGTGAAGAAGGCATCGATCGACCTCGTGTATATTCAATAGCGAGGACCAACTCAGTTGAAAAAATAACCTCAAATGCTGTACTCTCACCTCAGTTTGTCTTGAACCGTTGAAGCTGACAGCTTGAGTTTTACTGTTTGCATTGGTCTTGAGGCGCAATTTGAGGCCTTGCTTGCAAAAATGCACAAAGGCACGCTTTGAGATTAGGAGATGTTAGGAGTCCTTTGGGCTAAAGATTCTCATGGGTTCTCATGGAGTTTTCATGTGCAGGTTCTTTGCTTTCAGGAACTACAGGAGACCTGGGCACCACACACCAGCATACAGCCGGATCTCGGGCCGGACAGCGTCCTGGCTGAGGTAGTCCCAAATAAAAAGACAAAAACATGAATAAGCTTCGGTGGTATCCCCAACAGCCGCAACGTTTTATTTTTACAAATCTTTCTGAAGCGGTGCTGCGAAGCCAAGTGCTGGAAACACCTCAGATGGGTTTCCGTGAGTTACAGTAAATGGCCGCAAATCCTGTTGAACCTAACCTGGCTCTGCACGAAAGCCTCCCAGAACTTCTCCGGAACCTTCTTTGGAACCCTGTTGAACCTGACCTGGCTCTGTACCAAAGTCTCCCGGAACCTTCTCCGGAACCTTCTCTGGAACCCTGTTGAACCTGACCTGGCTCTGCACCAAAGCCTCCCAGACCTTCTCCGGAACCTTCGGAACCTGCTCCGGAACCTCGTTGAACCTGACCCGGCGCCAGCACCAGTGCACACCGGAGCTATTCTGGGCTGAAGACCCCATTATATAGCTTACGCTGTTGAGGAATAAAAGGAATGAAAAAGAAAAAAGATATACACAGTGGGTAGAAAGAGGCACCATGGAAAACTGTGCAAGAATATTCAAACAGTTTGGATTCAAACACGTTCTTGAAAGATCTTGAAAGGCAATGTGGCCTCAAGGGAAAAGTCCACGTCCCAACCATCACTTGGATCAAGGTCATTTTCACCCTCTGGGCACCTCAGAGTTGCGGTGGCAACTTTTGCTTCGCTTGGTTTCGTCTGCAAAGAGCAAACATGGGGTGACTGCAGTAAAGAACTCAGACAGGCTCGATCAATGATCAATCAGGCGAGACAATAGGCATTCCCTTCACTTTGCCACTGACTTGGAGGATTCTGCTTCTTGCTGCAATAGGATGCTGTGGCCAAACGGCCGGCCCCTTCATGTTTGAAAATTTTGATTCCAGCTTCTATTCTCAGATCAGCACACAGGAAATTCATCCTCTGCAAGCGCCTGAGACTCAAAATGCGACAGAGGCAATTCTTGTATGTCCCTCAGTTCTTGATGTCTTTCCTTGCCTCCCGGAAGGACAGCATGGCTATGGGAAGAACACTTACTGAAATCGCTTGAAATTTTGGTGATTCCGAATTCTTTCCACTAGATTCTAGATAGTGGTGTTGAAGCTTGAGGAGTGATTGCTGGGTGTATGCTTCGTGACTTCGTGGATATTCCTGATGTTCATGGATGTTCGTGGATGTTCATGGATGTTCGTGTTCGTGGTATTGTTTTGTATTAGCATCTCCAAGAAGTCTTATGTTCTGTTGCCAGGCATCCTCACATTGCTTTCAATGGCACTTAGCATTTCGACCTTTGTCTTTAGAAGCTTGGCAGCTTGGCAGGAAAGCCCGAAATGCTGCGCATCAGAGGCACTGGAGTCACGGGCCACGTGAGTTACATTGCACAGGTTCACTCATGCCGCAGCATGCCTCTTCAAAAGCCACTACCTGATACAAAACACACAAAGTCGTGGCAAAACAGTATGCCAATGCTGAAAGTTCAAAATTCCCGCCTCTCAGCTGGAGTTGTCCTGCCAGATTCTTTGGTAAATATGAAAGCTGTGCTGTCACAAGATTTGGTCAGATTGGGGCGATGTGCAAGTACACTTGAATTTTGTTATCAGGTACTTGGATTCCGAAAATACAACAACAAATTGCACGGTGAGTTCGTTTCCCAAGCCCTTTCCACTCGGGAGGGTGCAACGTAGTGGCACTCCTTAACTGCAAAGCACTCCTTAAATGCAAAGCATGCCTTTGCTAGAATGTCGTTTACTCAGCATGACACGCACTGCCGAGCGTTTTACACGAAATCGTAGCATCGGCCAATTTACAGTGTGCAATCGATTAATAAAGCATAGTTTCTTCGCCGTTTTGACTGTAAAACTGGATGAAGAGTTCAAGTGCAACAAGAGAGCAGGTCGGAGCCTTTTTTGGTAAACAGCTGACTATGATTATTTTGGCAATGCAGAAAAAGATAAGGTGGGTCGTAAATCATCAAGCTCCTGAAGAAAGAGTGCATTCAATCATGGTGTCGCAAAGAGAATGCCTATACTGAGAATATCTGAGTATCATGTTTTTCGAGCTACTGCTAGGGAATCCATGAATTTACTGGTAAATTTGATGTCAAAAGCAGAGGTTGTGGAAACAAAATAGAAAAGATATATAACCCATATATGTTTTTACAACTAACAAGAGTCTGGATTGAAGTGCTCCCCAAACCACAAGTCTGACAGAATATAAAGATCATGCTTCGAACCCGGTTTCTTTTGTTGCTTAATCGTGTGGCAAAGATGGTAACGCTTGCATTGCTTGCACATTGAGATCATGGACTGTAAAATGATTACATAAATTTATGTAAGTCATATGGGCCACGGTCAATATTTAGTATATAGCTCCAAGTCATCAATTTTTGAAGAGTGTATTATCGTTTTGCAAGCCCCAGCTCAATTTCCAAAAAATAAAGATGTCTTGAATACTACTTTCCATTACGGTAAATTTTGGCTGTAGCTCATATCAGAATACGCATGCTTTGAGAAGTTTCGGCCGTGCCGGCCTGAGTACCAAGTACGCCATCTGCTCCTCTGTCCTAATTGCAGTGCCAATGTGAAGAGTCAACAGAATCTTGACGTCTTCATAGGTCTTCATAGGTCTTCCTTGTTGCTCTGCTTGCACTGCCTTTTATGTTTTCCTTTGTTGTCCGTTGTCTAAGTCGTCTACATTTGCTTATCCCTGGTCCTTTGACATCTCTTGCCGCACCCTGAAAGGACTGTGATACAGCCGTGCCTTTGTCCATTTTGTCCTCACTTAGCAGTCTTTCGCTGAGGCAAAGTCTGGAGAGCGAGCAACATTCTCTGATTTGCGAAGCGTAGACGAGGGGCCCATACATCTCATACAATCATACATTCATATATCAAACATATCATGATAATGAGTAGTCATAATCAAATGCTTGAAGTCTTGAGCCATTTGCAACGGCTCCGCTAGGCTTAGCTGTATGTTGTCCATGCCTACCTCGTCTTTTCTAAGCTCTGCACAAAGGCACTATGTGGAGAACCCCATGCTGCGCTCGGCGGGTTGTGCCAGGCCTCAAGTATGAAAGTGAATCCAAGTCAAACAGTCCAAGACTGTCTAAGATAGTCTCTAGTCTAGAGTCTGGGTTATAAGCCTATACATAGGGAATATACAGCGAGGCAAAGCAAGCAAGGGCACAAGCGGATACACGGGTAAAAGATTGCATAAAGCGCATCAACATGTCTCTATATGGCTATCCACATCCAAAGCAAACACAAAACAGGTTTACTTGATTATGTTGGGATGTCTACCCATTTTGCAGGCGGTTAAAGTATGTTAATGTGTCCAGCCATACTCGCATATCGATACATAGCCCAGATAGTTTCTCAGGTGAATAGAGCAAACATGCATCTCCCAGACAGCCGCTGTAGTTGTTGTTGTGACAAGCTGTTGCTGAATGCAGTCAAAATCTCCCGCAACAACAGACAAAACGCATTTGGGTCAGAACTACAATTTCACGTAACCACGAAGCTTCGCGCAACCCGGGGCCAGGAGGGTAGTGGAGAAAAATGAAGGCAGGCATGGGCATCTAAAAAGGGGCAGCGATCAGAACTGAAGGTAAAGAAATGAGGAGGACCGCACCAAACAGAGTGCTTTCCTTGCCGTCGAAGTTGTTACTTCAGCACGCAGCTAGGCGGCATGTAAAAGCTAGTCGGAAAATTGCTAAAACAGTAGCAGAGAACTTGACCTCTGATCTACTGAGCACATCTTAGCACACCTTTCACACCCTGCGCCTTGCTGGCAGTAATACAGCCTTTGTGGATCTTTGTGGTGGGACCTTTAAGAATAGACTTCGGGAAAACTATACCAGCTCTAAGGCTATACGGTTATACGTCCCAGCGACCACTCGAGAACCTTCCAAGAACAATGGAGAACCAGTTGTTTTAATGGGTCTTGCAAAAGAAAACAGAACACCCAGACCCGAAGCGGTACTTCTCTGACGTCACCTCTTTTGCGTCGATGAGCTTCAAAAGGGTTTCCAGTGGCTGCTAGTGCTGGTCATACTGATGTATCCTCCATCTTCCGGGTCGCAATTCACTGGGCTTTATTTTTGTCCGTCGCTAAATAGCACAGTGCATTCCAAATGACTTTGGAATACTCCAGCTGTCGAACCCCACAAGGGTCTTGAAATGGCTAAATCAACTCGTATGCAGCTGAGCTTCTGTTCGTCTTTGAGACGGGCTGGAAGGGTGACCTCCGAGAGTCAAATCGGAGTCAAACATGTCAAACAGAACTTTGTTATGTCTTGCATTGTCTTGCTGGTCTTGTTGTCCTTGCTATCCTTCAGACTGTTCACACGATATCGCCAGATTAGATAGGATCTCGATGGATCTCGCAATATCTCACACAAACTCGGTGAACTCAGCGCCAAGAGCTTTGCAGGTCTGGTGCAAGAGTCGGCCTTCTGCGGCGCCTTCCACTTGCTCTTCTTCAATCCCATCCTCAAAGGTGGAACAAACACAGAGTTTCAGTGAACGTCAGTATATGATAGTATATGTACAAGCATCACTCAGTATGTGTCAAGTGCGTCTAACGTATTCCAAAGAATCAAGCAGCATAAAGCCAACTGTTCTTCGTGCACATCACGCCAGAGCCTATGTGATCTCTGTGTATCTTCCAGCAACTCGAGAAAACATTAAATTGGATTCCCCGCAAGTCTATAACTCAAATGTTGCCCATGTTTCAGACTCTGCTGTCGGTGCTTGGATCATGGCTTTGTAGAACATCCATCGCCCATCTGAGCGCACTGTTGCTGCATGCCCCTGGCTCAGGCGAAGTTGACCGGCGCTGGCCAGGCTCTGCACTTGACCACATACGAACTGTTCTGGCCAACTGCGCCAAGTGTTTGCTTGTCAATGACGAAATGTTTTTGGATACTGCCTTGCCAGACATTTAATTTGCTTCACTTGTGGGGGGAAAGAGAAGCTTCTTCCAAGAGTGCAAAGGCTGAAGGGCGAAGCAAAAACCCTGGACCTCGCTTTGCACCCCAAATCTTTCACCTCGCTGTCAGCACATCAGAACACATCGTTGCGATCCCACCCGATGTCCCTCCCTTCGCATGGTGATCGAGTCTCCAACTGTCTGGGCGGTCGGGCGCCTGCAGTGGGTCTGTTCAGCAGTTCAGCCATGAGGATATTGCAAGGACCACTAATATCCCAACAACTGATGACATTGCTGTAAAGACCCCAGTAATGTGCAGAAGTGGGAACACTGGCATAAACTTCACCCACAAGAGGAATGTGTTACAGCTTCAGCAGCTTGTGTGCAGAGTCATTTATGCCCGCACTGCCAGCCTGCAGCGTCTTTGATCTAGCCGGAGAGGCTTGAACCTCCTGCCCACGTAACCTGCGGTTGAACACGAGTCTCTTCACATCTAGACGGATTCGCAATAGCTTTGGGACAGCTTGTAAGAAGAAATAAGAAGATACTGTAGCAGATGCCCACAAATCTACAAAAATTGAATTTGTATGAATTTGTCACGTCCAAAATCTTCGAAAGCTGTCCTTCCGGCATCAAGTGGGGATTGGCTTCGATCTCCAGGTCGTGGGGACAGGCTGCGCACCCGTCGATCCTGCCATATCTGCCATGTGAATTTTTGTTTCGTGGGAACTGCCTGGGAGCCCACGGCGGGCCCACGGGGATGGGCCAGGCCTCAGCATCCCTGCCGTGCGGTTTGCTCGCACTCCGCTCTGTGCTCTCGCCCCTGGCGGTGTCAAGTCTTACAAGTCTTAGGCTGGATCGAAATGATGTGCTTCCTCAAGTATTCTCAAGTATTCTCAAGTCCTATGCTCTGTTGTCATAAAAGATCAGTGGGCAAAAACATTCCCTCTCAGCAGAGCTCTCTCAAGTTTCGAGTTAAAGGATCCATGTCAGTGCAGTTGAGGCAGGGCTGAAGGCTGTGTTGGAATTACTTGCCGCGAGCAATCTGGCAGTATGCAGGCAGGCAAACAATTGGATACAAGCAGGTCACTTCCCGGCTTCGGACTCACAAGCGACCGCAGTCTTGTACTCCAAACATCTCCAAACAAAGAATTCATTCAATCACCTTGCAGCCTGTCTAAACATGTTGAGAACAGTCCTGAACATGGTTGGGACGTTGCTTTGTTCGAAAATGAAAAAAGATCAAAAAGCAATTCCTGCAACATGGTTGGAACACTGTTGGAACCCGGCGCTGGCCCTTGTTGCCTCAAGCCATTGCATGGGCTTGGTTCAGGTCCACTGGTCCCACTCTCTGACCTGTCGCAAGCTGAAAACTCAGACGCTACTGCTACATGTCATCTACATACTGCATGTCTCTCCTACCTACAGTCATTTTATCTAATCTGCCTGCATGTTGAAAGGTTCAGACATTGATCAGAGTTGTTTTCAGCAGAGCCTGTCCTGACTCTAGCGTATCTTTGGTTCAATCAGCCAAAACAATGTTTGTCTCTGAGAGTAGTGTGGATAACAAACGTGCCCGCACGTTCGCAGCACAGACTCGACAAACACAAAATCATTAAGCCAACTTTGGAACCCAACAGCAGTGACGGTTTCAAATTCAAGGCTAAAACTGGGGAAAAAAATGAACTCCACGTATACACACATAGACATAAACGCATACACACATATGCATATACGCGAACACACAAACACGCGTAAAGAGAGGCGTTTGTAGCATCAGATAGCACAAAGCTGCCTAGGAGCAAAGCAAAGCTTCTATTTGTCTTGCTCCAGTTCTGGAATTGTAACCGTACTTACTGGTATCAAACGCAGTTCCAGCATTCCTGTTGTCGTTTCTCGTATGGTTGACATTGTGGAAATTGCGGTCTCACGTATATATACATCCACATAAAGTCATACACATATACGCATATACACATACTCACACACATATCCGCATACACACACACACATACGCACATATGCATGTATACACATTTAAATGCCTAGACCTGCCTAGAGGTGAATTACAAAACTGGAAGGCAAATGGAAGACACCTTGGAGACAATTGGAGAAATTGGGAGACCACATTTGGGAGGCAACAGGAGACAAGGTTCCAAGGTTCCCGGAACCCTGCAGACCCTGCGCATGGGGAAGGGGTGGGTAAGTCGGGATAGCTGCTAGAGATTGAAATCCAACAGCTTTCTGCTGTTGGGAATCCAGAGGGAAACAGGAGGCTACACTAAGGTTTCCACTGGTTACCGTAAGTTTGTTGTTGGTTTTCGCCCGAACCAGGGCTTGTACAGGGCCTGGATCCAGCCAAAGAGTCTTGCATTGAAGAGCCATGGTTTGCCTGCATCGGGAGGCACGCGAAAATTTGAAGCAGAGGTGCCTGATATGTCCTGTGGCCTATGGATGAATGGATGCCCATGTTGCCCTGATGCAAGTGCAAACAAGCTCTCTTCAATCAGTATCCGTGGGCTGCCCGATTGTCTGAGACAATGGGCTAGCCCGTGCAGGTGGTGAAAACAATCCGGAAGAACTAGCCGGTTCAGGCTGCACCGCAGGCTGCATGGCAGGCTGTACCCCAGGCTGTACGGCTGGTGGAGGAGGTGAACCTGGCAGTGCCTGGCCAGGGCTTTGCGCCCCTAGTGCTGGCTGCAACTTGTCCAAGGTCAAGTGGCCCGGAACATCCTGAAGTTTGGTGTGGACGCCGGCCGAAAAGACCTGGTCAATGTAACGATTGAATGCCTCACCAATCTGGCGCCTTTGCTTGCTAGCAGCCTCATCTCTCGAGGTCCATTCCACCTGCTCTTGGAGGTACACATCGATGCTGGAGATTCCATCATTGATGGTTCGCATCCAATGGACTCGCACCATTGGATCTGCTTGTTGATCTTTAAAGTCCTTGCGGTTCTGATTATCCATGGCAATTTGTAGCTTTTTCAGCAGCGACAGGGAAGGGAACGTTCTGAAGTTCCAAAGGTCCAGCATGCCCTGCACGTCATCCCACTCTTGCCGGACTTGCCGAAACTTTGCTTCCAGCTGTTCTTTCTTCCGTTGCGCCCGTTCACTAAGGTGCTTTTTCCTCTGGGTTGCATCGATTTGATCGAAGCAGATCAAGACACAGACTACGCACACCTCATTGATCACAAACAGCGCCAGGAGAAAGGGCTTCAGAATAACAATCTCAAGGGCGATGAAGAGCACGTTGAAGAAGAGGGTGGCAAGAAACAACACATGGCGTGCTGATAGCACTTTAAAGGTAAGGATGCAACACTGACATGTTGCTGGCAGTTCGGAGTCCTGCAGCCCAACGCCAGTCCAGCCAAAGTGAATCCATGAGATGCCGCATCGGAGCCTGTTGGGATCGAGCACCAGCGCCGAAATTTCGCTTCCTTCGGAAGTTCCAAAGACACGGCGAGCGTAGCTGGCCAGGGACTCAGCTGCCGTGGGGAGTCCTGCAGGCCTCCCTTCGGCATCCATGTGTATGATCGACTGAGCCCGGCTTTCCAGCTGCGTGGTACGGTACTCCAATGTGATGGTGGACACTAGCTTCAACCATGGCTGACACAGATCAGAAATCTGTGTCAAGGTGTTGCAGGCATCGAGCGCTTCAACCAAGCTCCTTCCTTGCACCAGAGGTTTGGCGAAGACCTGCGGATCCAAAAGACTAAGGGCAAAGATGTCGAACCACTTTTGGACGTAGCGTTTGAATTCCTGAACTGACTCTTGGTCTGTATACAGGACCTCTTCCGTCCTTGCCGTGTCTTTCAGGAACTTTTGGAATTCTTCAGCACTTTCACGGAAACCACGTGAAGCTTGCTGAACAGCACTAATTGCAAGTCCACGAATGACTACCTTCATATCCCCAGCGGCTTCCTGCAAACTGCGGACCGTGTCCTCCATCAACTTGTGAAGTTCCTGTTCCAACTTTTGCTCAGCATTGGCCAATGATCCTGCATTGTATTGGCAGATCATCTGTAAAAACATGATATTGCTGGGAATCAAGAAGATCAAGGTGATGATTTGTCGTGCGCAAAAAGGGGCCTCGCAATACGCACCTTGGGTAGAGCTCATCTCGTAGATTTTCAAGCCAGCAGCCACCAATGAACTCACCACGCCGAGCAGAAGGATGAGGTGCAACCAGTCTTGCAGACTGAAGCACATTTGCAGTTGTTGCGGACAGCATGGCTTGCAACAGTTGCATGGGAAGCATGCGTCATGCAGACACAAGCAACGAGAACAGTTGCATGACCCCATGGTGCTGAAGCTCAAGACATTGTGGCTAAAGTGTGGTCCAATTTGATCTTGAGCAATGGCAAACACTGCAACAAGATGCAACAAGATGCAACAAGATGATGCAACAAGATGATGCAACAAGATGATGCAACAAGATGATGCAACAAGATGCAACAAGCTCTTCAGCTCTTCTGACCGAGCTGATGGGCTGACCGAACTGAACTGGCCGAGCTGGCCTGGTCTCTGCCACCAATCAAACCTGCCATTTGCTCGGGCCAAGTGCGACCATGCCTCGCTACATTCATGGGCAAAGCCGGAAAGCAACTTCGAGCACATGGGCCAAAACAAGCACCACCAAGTTCTACTTGCAAACCCAAACCAAATCTGCTTTGCAAAGACAAGGTTACCTGCAACACAAAGCACCTCACCAACAATTGTGCCAGGACTCAAAGACCAAAGCATGTCGTCTCTATCTGATGTCTGATATGTCTGAAGCCTCAAACTTCTTCAACTCTTTCAAGTTTCTTATGTTTCTTTCTTTAGGTGTCCAACATCGATAGGTCCTCAAGAACTTCCCGCGAGCTCATCGCCTAGCATCCATTGCACAAGGGCACAACTCCCAGTATCGCGAATTATGAGCAAATGGAGAATACTTGACACTCCCAGCGTTCAGGACAGGGGAGGAAGAAAACTTGCAATCCATGCATGTGTGAAGCAAGTTGAGGAAGTTGACAGAGTCAGCTGACAGAGTAAGGATGGTGCAGGGGAAGGAGCAGTTGCAGGCTTTGTCCCTGCACTCGGAGAAGTACGAGACTTCCGAGCCACTGGAATGGCCTTGCATTCCAGGCCTGTCAGTTTGATTCTGATGAAATTCAAACACGGACGTGATCTGCCGAATGAAGAACTGAAAGAAGCAAGCTCGATATGCTAAAAAGTGCTAAAGATGCCTCGATGCTCATCTGCCACCTGCAGCCAGGGCTGATGATGGGATTGTCTTTTTGGGAAAAAGCTTGCACTGTGAAATACTGTCCATGATCGTGCACCTGATCTCCTAGTCTTCAACACAAAGATTCCAAGCGTTTGGCATAAAGCATTGCCAAAGATTCATTTTGTCAAAAATCTAGTTAAAGCATGTTAAAGCCAACTATTGAGTACACTGAGTACACTTGCCAGATCGAAGAAAAAAAGGGTTTCTTCACATCTCGTGTAATTTCTGCAGCACCCAGTTCCATTTTGAAAAAGGATTGCCTCTCCCATACACCATCAGATACCATCAGCAAACCAGCACCTCCAAGTCCAGTCCACTACGGCTTCGGCCAATAGACCCTGAAGTCCTCACCATCAAAGTACTCAGCAACAGTCACAAAATGTCACAAACACCATCCTCCTATATCCTTCTAGTGCTAGGCTGTGGCTGCCACTTGCAGGGAAGAAGTCGATAGTCTTGTGTTGACTGCACATTGCAGATTCTATTCTATACAAAAGTGCAGCAGCCTGAACCAAGTGACAATGCCAAAGTGACCTAAACACCCTGCAACACTGCAATTTCTATCTGCTAATATCTGCTATAAAGAATTGGATGAATGAATGTATCTAACGAATCTGCCTGGTGGCTCAATTTACGAGTCACACTTCATCTGAATCGAACATCATTCATGTTGCCCAACCCAAACCTGAAGCAACGATAAGAAACAATACGCAACGACCAAATCTAGGTGCTGTCCAAGCTTCCATGATCCATTGCTTGGTGCTCGCACAGGAGTGCGATTGCCTCGTCGAATGTCCGGAGCAGGTGCCGGAGGAGATCCCGATGCCTTTCGGAGTGCCAGAAGTATCAGAAGTTCTGCCAGAACATGTCTGCCAGAATTGAACAGAATTAAACAGAATTGAACAGGACCGGGACTGGGGGAATCGACTGGACATGTTTGCGGTGAAGGATCCATTGCAAAGCGAAGCTCCCAAGTCGATGTCGAACCAATAGACTTGTCTTCATACTCTGAAATTACAGTATACAACCTTCCAAGACTGCTATTCTGGCTGGCCATCGTTGGTACCATCTGGATCCATCTGGAGTTTTGTTTGTTTCTTTGTACATCTTTGTACCATCTGTTTCTTTGGGTTTTACATTCCTGATTTTGATCTCGGCCTTGAGGGTTCGAGGTCCAGACTCCCGTCCTTGGACAGTCAAGAAATGGGTGTCCTCTGGCATGCGCTGACTGTGCAACTGCCCAGCCTGCACTACTCTGTGTCCGGCGGTGCCCAGCCTCCAAGTCAAACAGATGGACCCGAATTGGGAAAGCCACGAAAAATGACCGAAAAACTGCTTTTTTCATATGGATTTACATACTCCTATGGTTACATAAAGCCCCAGGTACCATTGCCTCGTCTCTGCGGGCATCAGTTGGATCTAGCTTCTTGACAGAGCTGCTCTTGACCTGGGCTTTTCGGCTGTATCTCCCATCACGCAATATCAACGATATCAAAGGTTCGAAATGTCTTGGAAGCAGCTACAAGATTCTATGAATCCGTTTCAGACTGTTTTTTGAGGTTTGCACAAATTTTGGAGAATTCCAAAGTGGATCTCCATCGCTGACCAGCGGCCCTCCGGACCTGCCACCAGGATCCACAAGTGTCAGATCCAACATCGTTCAAAAGAATTGCCAAGTACTATGAAATAGTTTATAAATATGAGTATTAAATAGTATTATATAATTAGATCCAAAGATCCAAGATGATCCAAGTATCTACTTGCAATGCGATACAATTTGATTCAGACAGTTAAATCATCAGTCCCCGCGTCTCCACAGCTCAGGTTCGGGCTGAAGAGGCCCAACAAGGCAGCCAAGTGAAGATGAACGCTTTGGAACACTTCCTCCGCCAATCAGTCGCGCCAAGCGATTACACCAATAAGTTTCCAGTTTTTACCCTTCTCCACTCTTAGCATTTCTTCGCTTTTTCCAGCTTTTTCTTGACATGTGTCTTCAATGTCAGGGCTGGTGTTGGCATCTGGCAGTCAAATGTTGACAGCTAACTAGTCTAGCATGAGTGCAGGTGCCTGATGTGCGTCCACGCTCGCTTTCAACTCCGCGCTTGCCACCGTTGCCCCTGGACCCCGGCGTTGCCCTGCCCAAGTCAGAGTCAGACTTTGGAAAGCGGCTTCGCAAAAAGATGCTTTGCAAATTCTGCAAAATGGTCATAGCATGTCATAGCTTTGCGAACATTGCAGACCATGTCCTCCGGACACTCTTGGTCTTGGTGCCCAGCCTAGAAGGCTTTCTGAGCGGCATCGACGGGTTCACCGCCACCTGACAACGGTCGCGGCTTCCTCTCTAACCTCTAAATTTCCTGCAAAATCCTTGCACTCGCTTACCAAAATGGGCACATGCAATGACTTCAAAATGCAAGAGCGATAAGTACCTAGCCTTTGCCTCAGCTGCTATCGTATGCTGGGACACCTTGCAAATCTTCGACACAAGGAAGATAAAAAACCCAGGCAATTTTGGGGCTTCCCTGAGATTCAGAAGTTGGTAGGCAAAACAAAAAACAGAAAAAACAAGCATGTCCACAGCATCAGCATCTCCAAGCCCCTAACTTGGCCACTTTCATCTCCTGCAACTCTGTCTGACACTCATCTTGCACTCATGAGCTGTGGGGTACAAAATACTCGAAGTGCTGCGTTGACCTATTTGATGTGTTGGAAAACAGGAAGAAGTACGAAAGCACTGGAAATATTGTCCTTAAAAAGTCTGCTTAAATGCAAAGATCTAACACGAAGCATGACATCCGCGCCTCCAGCTAGAGGAAGCTCCTGCAGCAAATTCGATCCAATTCGTATTCAATAGCAGGCAGCTGCAGACCGGGTCACAGAACAAAGCAAGAGAAACCAAGAGGAGAAAGATACAAGCAGGTTCAAACGGTTCAAAGATTCTGTATCCAATGTCAGCACATTATACAAGTGGAATTCATATCAGATGGGCGGTTCCGATGGATCAAAATGGCTAAATGCCAAAATATGCCAAATGCCTGATCCTAGGCAAGACATGGCAAGACAGTCCAAGGCAGCTGTGGACAGTATGGACTCACATGGACTCTCCAAAGGAGCACTGTTGTGAAGCGCAGTAAACTTGCTTGGGTTGCACCACAAATTGGGCAACAGAATTGGCTAGAAGACAAGTATCAAATAGACTGTTTGTACGGTCATACCAAAGAAAAAGTGCTGAAAGTAGGGGCAGCAGTTTGGCAGGAAAAGAGAAAAAGCAGCAATTTCATGCAATTTCCACATCCACACTTGAGTGCCTCCATCTCTGAGCAAACAGGTGCTGTGCTGCCAGCTTGGGGAGTTTCTGACCTTCCGCGGATTTGAAGCACTGAAATGCAAAGAAGCATCTAAGAGCCCTAGAATCCACAGTCCTGGCACACTTGGTGCACATGGGACTGGCGGTGCACGTTCTACGCATCTTCCCCAGGTCTGCTGCACCTATTGGACTCAATCATGTCATCTGCAGGACGAGGACTAGGACTGTCACACCTTGGAACAAATGTCTGAAAGAAGGTCTGTCTGGGTGTCTGACTAGTCTCCGCATGGCTTCGTTTTGCTTGGTGGGGGGTTCTTGAAGGATTCCGTGGTATCATTGCAGCAAATTGCACGGCTTGCCCGGCTTGCCCGGCTTGCCCGGCTTGCCCGGCTTGCCCGGCTTGCCCGGCTTGCCCGGCTTGCCCGGCTTGCCCGGCTTGCCCAGTGTCTTTGAACCCCTGAGGAGTTGAGGAGGCGGCTGGATTCCTTCACCAGGACTGTTGGCTTCAGAGTCATGAGAGGTCTCGGACTGATACCAGTCCTCGGGAACCAATCAGAGCAAAAGATAAAGGCGAAGCCAGCGACACAATACCGGATGACGAGTGCAAACATGAAGCACAAATCATGAATGCTTTTGAGGCTGTTCTCCACTCCACACAATCAAGCTGAGTTGCATCTCTGCTCGTACATATCTCGGCTTCCGCCCTGAGAATGTGACCGAGAAAAGTCAAATCATAAAATCATAAAAGTGTCCAAAGCTTGCAAACTCTCCTCTTGCTATTTGATTCTTTGGGGGGCGAGCCTTTGAAAATCAGCAACTTCGGATGGGCAGGCTGCCTCCCACTCTGCAAAAAGCCGGCTTGGCCTGCCCAGCCGAATGGAACCGAATGGAAGATGGCAGTCCACCAGAAAAATTGCCCAATCGCTGACCTGACACCCGTCCCATCACTGATGCTGCCGGGCCTCACAGAAACTTGCAGAGTTCTAGGAGGCAAATATATAATGCTTTGAAATCGATTACAGGATCTAGTAAGAATTTGGATCATTGTGTATCTATAGGAAGGAGTTGGAGACCAGGCTGACGTTCCTCATACAGCTTCCTAGTATGACTTGGCATGGGGATCGGAGCCCCTGGAAAACCATGGAAAACCGAGGACCTGCTCTGGTATATTCAGTCTCAGGAGTGTAATCTTGAGCCTAATTACTCAAGAATGTAGGGTAGGTCATTTCATTTGAGGCTCTGGCGCAATCTGCGACTCCAGAGATAATGCCGCTTTGACAATGTCGCCTGAACATGGTTGGGGTTGTGGGCACTCTGTATGTGTGCGTGTGCATGTGCGTGCAAGTGCGTGTCTGTGTGCATGCATGTGCGTGTGCCTGCGCTTTTGCATGTGTGCGCAATGAACGTTTTGGGGCAATGAACAAATCAAATCGCTTTTGATGCACTCTGGCTGGGTCGCTCCTTCGCAGAACTAGCAAGCAAAAGCCAGAAAAACTAACCTCTACCGCATATACCAATACCTCTATTTTTCAACTTACTGTAAGCTTCAGGTCTGCTTTCACAAGATTCTTACAATTACAGTATGTTGTATGGATTTTCGTGAAATGGGAATGTCTCTGACAACCGGTAAGATCTGCATGCCAAAAATCCTTGGAATTTGAAGATCCTCAGATCATGTTCAGGCACCTCCAGCGAGTGGATCGCCAGCACGCATACTCATCATGTCCAAAATCCCTTCAGTTCCTTCTTGCAAAATCCTGAGCTGAGCATAGCTGCATGAGCATAGTCACGCACAGCCAAGCAATTTATCCTTGGTCCAGCCTGTTTTTTCGCAGCTTGACGATTGCCAATGCGATGAGGACGACGGCCTGGAACTTGTTACGGCTGTTACGGGCTTTGCAAGTGGAAATCTCACGCGGCTTTGCATTTTCCAGAAATGGCGAGCGGCATCAAGCGGCATAACTGTGGGACGAACCTGTAATCCGTCGCAGACTATGAGATCCCAAACACCTGGCCAAAAAAGGGCCGTGTCCGATTAGTGAGAAGGAATCTGATTGACCAATGTTGACCATACAATCGTTTATTTGCGGTATAATCATACAATCGTGAAGTCACAGCGAGAAGCAGGAAGTTTGATCACTTCTCGATGACTCATCAAGATCCTGCGAGTATTCCGTCTACGGGCATTTGCCCTTGGTGCAGCACTTGGCTTCCTGGTGGGCCATCCCAACAAGACCTCCCTTGAAATCGCAAACTCTCCAAATCACTCTCCGGTGAAGCCTTGAGAAAGCGTGAGATAAAGTGTCAACAGTGTATAATATATGCATTATATTGTATTATATTAATTTATATACACACAAAGCAGTTGAATAAGCTTCCCAAGCTATGCACAAGAGCAACAGAATCCAAGTTGATCCTAAATTGTCTGATGTCGTCTGCTCGTTTTTGCCTGTGCAGTGCGCTTTGTTTTCAGAAATGTTGACTCCCGAGAGAAGGAAGGTGGATTGTGTGTGTGCTTGATCTCTTGGCAGGTGAAATTGGGGCAGAATGAACAGAGACCGACTCAATGCGGACTGAATGAAGGCGAGAATGAGCTATGAATTGGTGGATGTGATAGTCTTGGCCGCGAATGAATTCGTGAACAAAATGAGTTTTGTTGGAGCAAATGGAGACTGACGAGATTGGCGAACTGAGAAAGGAAACTCAGGATTTCATAACGTGCATGACGTGTGCATGACGTGTGCATGACGTGTGTGACATGTGTGACGTGTGTGATGTGTGAGCACAGGGCTGAGACAGCTGTCAATGTAGTTGAACATGGGAGTGTGTTTGAAGCTGACTCACATGTCAATTGGAGACTCACCAGGATTCTTTCGGATTCTTACGAACTTGAAGCTGGTCACAAGCTTCAAGAGTTTTGGCTGATGACCTGTCCCAGCCTCTTGATTGTTGTGTTTAAATCTTTCAAGGCTGGGGCTTAGGTCAACGCTCAAGGAGCACAAGCTCCGCACACTGGTTCTCAGCTAAAAAGCAATCGGTATACTCTGATATGATGTCCGAACATGTCCAAAGTGTCACAAAGGTTCAAGGCCAATACTGTCTGCACATGTCTGCACAAAAAAGTTGCCGGCAGGAAGCAAAGAGAATCTCGCATTACTGTTGTTGTGTTCACCCTGTCCTAGACAGAAAAGGATAGCAAAAACATGGCAAAAGCATGGCAAAAGCATGGCAAAAGCATGGCGGGCAGACGCGCTGCTGAAGAGAAGCTCAGAGGCTGTGTAAAAATTGTGAGTATCCACCTGCAAAAATTCTGCAAAGTATGTCTGAATAATGTCTGAATACTGTCAAAGCAGCGTCACTGATTGCTTCGCTTAGGCAAGCCTAGCTCTTCAGGCTTCAATTTTGACCATTTTTGCCTCTAGTTCCGCGCATCCTCAGGTAGTCTTTGGTATAAGCATGGTAACAAACACATTGGCGAGGACTAGGACACCACTATTCTCCGAAGCCCATCTGAAGCACTTTAACATGCCAAAAGTGTATCAAAACAAAAAAAGTACAGAAACATACAAAATGTATCAAAAAGTGGAATCGATCATATATCACTGTATCAAAGCAGTGGTGCCTCAGCTACGCAAGCCTCCAGCGGTGCTGTGCCCAGTTCAAGACTATACGGCATGACTATGTTGCAACTCGTTTGGTCGCAAGGTCTACGAGAAGTGGCTCCACGCCCTACGGATCTGATACTAATTCGCATCAATGCGAACTAGAAATCTCCCGTCGAGACTCACGCGGCCCCTTGGTTGCGGGTATGCGAATCACATCCCAAAACAGTCATTGATCACATCATATCTTTAAAGAACATCATAGAACATCAAAGCTACAAGTTTTGTGGCATGCTGTCAAGCTTCCATAGCATGCCACGGGTCCGCAAAAGCTTCCACGCAGTGGCAAGGGCAAGGAGGCATCTGTCACATCAATGTTAACCTGCGGTCTGGCATTACATAGCACAAGCTTATCAAGCTGCCTGCATCCACAAACTGACTGCTCTTTCCTCGAAGCCATGAAAATAGCAGAAAAAGAAAGAAACAAAGACATCAGAACGAAAATGGCAGCAATACATTGAACCTTCGGCTGGTTTTCCATCCACGAATGAAGAGCTGAGAAGACCTTCTGCGCAAGTGCAGGACGACTTCATGGAGAGATATCAAAGAAAGCTATTATCAAAGAAAGCTCTTATCTTTGAGTTGTCTTTCTTGTACAGCATCAGCAAACCCTCTTTCTTGACAGAATCCCGGCCTGGCGATTATTGGACATGATCAGAGGAAAATTCTGATCGCTCATCTGTGCTGCAAAAGCAGCTGTGTCAGCCTTGCCGCTGAAATGCTCCGCTCATGCAACTGAGGAGAGGCATGAAACTTAAAAAATGCAAAACAAAGGACAAGGATGAACAAGGATTGCTGGTGGTGTCGTCATCTCCTGTACTTCTCCACCACTACACAAGAGCAAAAAATCTGCAACAAACAAACAACAATAAACAATCTATTCAATATGCACAGCTCCTTGATGTTCTTCTACGTCGCTTTGTCCTCCGGGCCTCTATTTGAGTCACGTACTGCAAGGTTCCAGCATCAAGCTTTGGCCCAGCTGCCTGAAGTGCATTTTATAAGGACGCCGAAGAACAAGGCAGAAAAGGCGACAATGGTGACAACGCCATTAAGGATTCAATAAGGCCCGATGCGGCATCTGCGGATATGCCAAATGTGCAACCGAGTGCGCCCAAAACGCAACCTCGCCTTCTTCAAAGTTTTGATGGCAAATTGCCAAGTGGTCACAGCTTTTGCCATGTCCGGACATGAATCAGACAGCCCAGCCTCGGAACAGGTGCCCCTACCCAGGACAAACGAAGACAAGCAGCACAAGGCCATGCTGTCCAAGTGACATCGCAACGCTTCAGCAGCTCGCCGGTCTTCAAGGCCTACAGGCAGGGTCTGATGACGCACGGCTCTCTTGGCTCTTGTGAAATTCAAATCTATCCATTCTACAGCTCACAGTGTGTCACACACTCTCCCAAGTCATTAGCTCTCTGCCTGAAATGCCTGAGGAATGGTGGCTGGCGCACAGGCCTTGCTGCCTGTGCATGAGAAAGATTCAAATGCCGTGCAGAGTATGGACAGTGTACAATTGCCAAAGATGAGAATGAGAAGAGGATACTCCAGAATCAATTCCATTCTCGCAACTGCACCCTCAGAATAGGGAACAAATCCAATGATCCAGAAGAAGAGACCTGACTGAATGGTTCCTTGGCACAAGCTACTGGAAGCTCAAAAACGCATGCTCAAGGGGGGGACGCCATGCCTGCTGACCAGCCCTCCAAAGTCTCCCGACCACCATCGGACTTTCTGAAGAAGCACTTCTTAGCACCTGCAACTCGTTGCAAGTGCATAGCTGCTACAGCTTCATCTTCACATATCTTCACAACGGGTAAAAAGAAGATCTGAATCATCCCCGATATGTTGCACTGCTCAAATTGGCAGTATGGAACAGCCAAGTGCAAAGCTACCCATGCACCACACCATAAATCTCATCATACCTATCTAGCTTCTGTTCAAAGCAGACTGTGACTAAGCGGAGTACCATCTTGCTCTCCAAACCTTGGTAAACATACAGGGAAGGCAACAAATCACAGGAAGGAAAGACTTGGGAAGACAATGGTCCGGTTGCACCACCGAACGTCTTTCCTCACAGGAGAGAAGCTTAAACGCGGCCGAGGTACGTCCAGTGAGTACACTCGGGTAGCTCTGCACAAGTTCGTGCACACAAGGCAGGTGTATCAGCGATGAACTTGTCAGAATTCTTGCAATCGTTCTGCCAGCAGCCTGGTGGAAGCAAGAGAAAGTTCACTGACCCTTTTTCTGAGGAATCAGTACCCGTCATGTCTTGACTTCACACCACACGGAGCCTGCAGCTCCATGAGTGCTGATGTCAGCAAAGATTGCCTTGGCAGTTTCTCATCACATCACGCATCACTGCGCCCGAGAAGTCACAGAGCCAAGATACATGAGCTCCAGCATGCCGAAGGACGACGTTTGGCTGCATGCAGTCTGGAAATCCAGCACTTTCCAACATAGTCCCAGCGCAAGCGCAAGCAAGTCCTTAACGGCCAGAAAAGCATTCGGTGGCATCGAATATTGAAATCTTGCCCCCCACGTTCACAGAGCCTAAGTTTCGGACGGCAGATGCTGACCTCAGTATGCAAGAGGGCAACAGCAATGCAAAGGCGCAGGCCGTGAGCAAGTTTTTGGTGTTCATGCAAAACTAGCCAAAACAAGGCACAACAAGGACTGTAGCGAAGGCGATCTTATATACTATCACTAGTAGGGAGTGCAGAAAACACCCAGTGACCCAGTTTTCCCAGCCCTTGCACAAACACAATCACCATGTCTCTTCTTTAAAAGTTTGGAAGTCTTTGGCGGAACAATCGCGGCATTCCCTCCACTCAATGGCATGAACTGACAATGCAGCAAAAACAACAGACAAGGAGTCACTAGTTGAAGAATCAGTTTGGAAGCGACAGAGCAAGGACAAACGCTGGACATAGAAGCCTAGATTGCAAGGGCAAATGATGTACAAGCCTTCAAGGCACGAGCCAGCCACATGGCAGTCCAGCCCAGACGCGTTCTCTTTGACGGAAACAAGAGCAAGAACCCTAAGAGGGAACAGCCTCGTTCTACCAAAAGGCCTGGGATAACTACTGTAGGGGTAAGTAGGGTCCTGCAACCAAGAAAACAATTTGAAACAGCATGTTGCACAACATTTTGAAACAGCTGCACAGTCATCTGTAACTAATGGGTGACATATTTTTGCCAAGATACAGACCAGTCCTGCGGAGCACCTTTATCGTCGGTATCTGGATTCGGAGTTGGCTTGGCAGTGTGATAGCGGTCTGCACTCGGGACGTAGCATTCGATCCTTCCCCACGAAAACCTTGGTTTTGCAATTATCTGAACGGCACTCAACGGGCTCGATTCCCTGTTTTGTTTTTAGATTCCGGGTTGCTGCTGCTTAGCACGGAAAAAAAACATATAAATACATACAATCCATGGAGGTCGGTGTGCACTTGTCTGTAGGTGCAGCCAGTCTCTATTTTAGACCTTGACATTCGAACCATTCACCGTGCAGCAGAATGCAATTTTACCGCTGGTGTTGGGAGACCCATCTCGGCCTGTACAGACATCGGAATAGATAGAGATAGATAGAGATAGATAAGATAGATACGACATATGGATATATCCATATAGATCGGACTAGGAGAAATGCAGATAGGATTTCGATTCCAACCACACCCGCACTAAATCACAAAATCACTAGGGGTCCATTGTCAAACAGGCACTGTCCACGGTTTTTTGGCCGGGGACATGAGAAACGACCGGACAAGACTGGAAAAGCCGCTACTAATACACAGAAAAATTGCAAAAACAAAGAGACAAGAAGAGACAGATCGCAAAGCAGACTAGACGAATGCAAAAGATGGAGTAGAGGTATATAAATCAAAAATAAACGAGCGACGGAAAAGGAGATCACATGGGATCAAAAAGATTGGTCTCAATTGCTTGATAGGAAAGAATGGGTACTTAGTACATAGGACAAATGGATCGCAAAGAATCTACAGATCAGCAAGAAGGCACGATGGGCGAGAATAGCTAGACAGGTTAGAACAAGTATGCAAGCAAGGCGTGGTAGGTTGGGAAATCTCAAAAGGAGACAAAAGGGCGGTGATACAAAATACATTGGATGGTTGGAGAACAGACATGCCGTAGGGAATCAGATGGGTTTGGGTTGGATCGGAGTCTTTATTACGAAGTTGCAGGGGGATTGGAATCTGCATGGGTCGGACCGGCAATCTCGACCATCCCGACCATCCCAACTATACTTCGGTGAAGCATTGGCCCAACATGGGCCACTAATGGCAATCAACACAGGGTCTTCACGCAAAGAAAACAGTCCAAACAAGAAGGTGCCTGTTCTCACCCTTCACGGGCAACAAAGCCTTGAAATGACCCAACATGACTCAAGATGCCCTGCCCGAACGTACTGCACCCTACGCGTAGGTCCATGGGCTTCACCCAATCACCCAGGCATCAACACAGGTTCTCTCCTCCTGCAAAACCTTCTCCCTTCATCCCAAGCCAACTACCGCCGCATGACTCCAAATGTCTCAAAAGTGTTGCTATGTAGCCTCAACCTACTGCACCCTACCTCGCAAGTTGCCCAATATATAGGCCCAGCATATTTGGCTTCACGCTGGCATCGACAAAGCTTCACACCAAAAAAAGAACAAACGCGTAGATCAATCAAGCTAAGGACATTGTCATGCAGTGGAGCGGGGGCACTTTTAGAAACTTGACATGGAATCAAAGTAGCAAGCTCAAGATTGAACATGTTCCAAATACATGCAGGGGTCGGGTATATAGATTTAGAGATATAGAGATAATTACAGAGGTACAGTGCTATATTGTAGAAATGAGATCAGCAGAATTCATTGATCTAGCACTTGAAATCTTCTATTTTTGCATTTGTGCAACAAATCAAGCAGCTCAAAGGTACTTTGGGTCTCTGCGCAACTGCATAAACTACTGCGCAAAAAATCCTCTCCGCTACTTGTGTGAAATGAAGCCGCATTTTGCGCTCCAAATGCCGCGAAGGAGCTGCTTCGTTCTTGGAGCGCGTGCCAGCAAAGTCGGCACCATTGGAGTGGCATCTGCTGCTACAAAATGGTCATATGCCAGGCCCTCACAACGGAGCAAGCTGAAAGAGTTTGAACGACACTGGGGTTATAATTCAATGAATCCTTCAGCCCTTCACGATTACACAATTCAATTTGGGAGGTTTCCGATGTAGGATTCCTGGCATGGAATGTCTGACAATATGGGTGGCGCGTTTGTTTAGAATCATCTGGTGCAGCTCCAAAGAACATTGCCCTTTCCTAAATCCCTGTATGAGCTGACACGCAAATGGATAAAGAAACCAATCCACAAAAACTGCTCTACAGTCATCCATCCAACTACTTGTCATTCATTCACTGATTTGCTTGCTCGCTCGTTCGTGTGTTCATTTGTTCCATAAATCGAGCGTTTTTCTGATTCCTTCATTCATCTTTCCCGCCTTTCGATCCCTTGTTCCTCATGTTCCTCCCTATGTCCACTCTGGATATATAATCTGAACTAATGAAGCTTCAAAATCTGACGACTTATCAGTTACAACTTCCTTAGCAACTTCTGGCAAGTCTTTCAGTCCCGTCCTGGGAACCGCAGGTCTGGCCACATGAAGCTCCTTCAGCTCCAAGGTACCAACATCTTCCGTGTGCTTCCACACCACCCTTTCGCAAAGCATCTCAAGAATTCTCAAATAGAAATGTTCTCTTCTTTGAAACAGAAGAGTAAAGCAAGATATGCTGAGAACGGAAAGCTCTTGAAATGTTACATGTTTTATATGGTGTTTTTCCACGTTCGGTATTTTTTTGATTGAGTCCAGATCTTGTTTCAGATTGCAAGAGCCCTTGTATTAGACTATCTGCGGAAAAAGAATGTTCACAAAGTGCCATGATGAGGACTCACAACAATTCAGCCATGATACGTTGGGACAAACGGCCGCAGCGAAGGTTCCACTTGATAACAGTGACAACCATCTGACCGCCCTCATCAGTCCCAGATCCTGACAGACCAAGTGTAGGAATTTCGACCGTTGCTCGATTATGTAGGGCAGTCTCCCCCAAAGTTGGTCCCAACGATTTCTTGCCATGCTAAGTACGATTTCCAAGTGACGTCCCTAAACAAAACGAACAAACCATTGCTTTGATCGTCGTCAAACCTTCCCACCTCAAGGATGCTGCCCAAAGCACAGGCTCAAGCACTATCATCAGCAAAACTTGAGCCAAGAAACAAATGACGTCCAGCAGCTTCCATCAATTAGTACAAAAGCTTTGAGAACTGATATATGGATCAAATTGAACAGCAATAGATTGGGTATATGATGCATGTATCGTGCAACTAAGAGATATATATATAATTATATATAGAGATTGGCATTCTATGATTTGGTCTCAAGCCCTCCATTGGCAGAACTGTTCGGCTGGATTGGGCTTGCCCGGCTGGGCTTCACACCTTGTCAGGTATAACTCCGGCGTGATCTGCTGGTCTTGAAAGTGTCTGTGAACCTTACATGTTTCCAGAACTTTGCTCCAAGGAGACTTCTAAGGTCTTCTGAGTCTAGTCACATTGAGGGAGCTCATGCCCTTTGCCCCTTCATAGCGCAAGAATGCGCAAGAGTTTTATGTTGTATTCATGGCTGTTGTTGCTCTGAACGCTATGGTGCTTCGCCACTTGCTTTGCAATAGCTGGAAGCTTGCGGTTGAAAACTGAAAGCTGCAAATTGCAAGGGGCCGCACATCTGGAAAAAGCCTTTGTAGCAACGTTCGATACTGAAACCTGTCAGGTTGCTTCCGTCTTGCCAAGGGGCAGCTTCTGTCAAACAATTATAGTTGTAGGATAGTTATAGGCATAGGTGCACATTCATATTAGTGCCATGTGTCTTCTTGGTCCCATGGTATGAAAATATGCAAACATGTGCTGCTTTCAGCTGACAAATCGTGGCAGGATCGCGTATGCAACTTGAGGAGTGGCAAACCTTCGCAAAACAAGAGATTTGCTCGGTACCTGGACATGCGGGCAAAGGTTCATTAGACTCGTGCATCTCTCCAGAAGAATTTCTGCGAAGGATATTGTTCAACTTCAGTACTTTCCCAAACAACCTATGCGTAGCCGGAAAACAATCAAGAATTCTCCCAGCTTGCTGCAGCTGGCTCCAGCACACTTGTGACCAATGACAAATGTATTACTGTATTACCCTTCCAATAAAATATCACATTCATATTCTCGCAGTCTGACATTGCTGTGTCGCACTCTAACTCCCAGTCAAAGGATGTACAGAATTCACAATCATCTGCCAAAGCATATCTACTTGTTCGCAGACTTTTTCATGATGGGGCACTTTACCATCATCTGCACGAGCAGCAAAAATGCATCCTGGAACAACAGCACACGAAATACAAAGTTGTGATGTGCATTGCTGTCTTCGAAGGAGCACCTTGGGTGCATCTGGAACACGTCCGGCAACCA